ATTCCAGGTGGTTGCCACCTGCCAAATAAGGGTCAAACAAACAGTTAACAAATAATGAGGTGAAATTGTTCCCTTCCTTAAAGTTTTAAAACAAATAGTTTCAATTAAAAGATAAGAATATTTAGATTTTAAAAAAAATTTTAAAATATTTTTGCCTTTTAATTTTATAATTTTAAAAATAATTAACTCACTCATTAAAATATATAATTCAATTAAAAATATTTTATAGTATTAAATAAAGGGAGTATGTGTTTTAGAGAGCTAGTAGAATATTAATATAGATTTAAGAAATAATGATAGGAAAATCTTTTAATTTAAGTTAAGTTTCAAGTGCTAAATTTTAAAAATTTATAATTTAATTTTTTAATTTTGTAATTTTGTTATGATGAATTTGTAAATTTTGTTTTAAATTATAACAAAAAAAATATTTTTTTTATTCTTCAACCATGTTAAAATTTAAAAAATAAGTTATAAATTCATCACAATATAGTTGTAAAATTAAGAAATTTAATTATAAATTTTTAAAGTTTGACATTTATGATCTAATTAAATTAATTAATCTTTTGGGACCTCTTTATCATTCTTCCTAGATTAAAAGAGATCATGGGGAAATAATTTTATTAGATTACCGTATGTTATATATCGTTCACAAACGACGTACTTAGCTTTGGTTGTTTTGGAAAAGAAATCGTGCAGTTTACTTATTTAAAATTGTAACTCGCAGTCTCGCATATTGCATGCATTATAACGAGATATGGTAAAAAGCTCATTTGAAAAGCTCAAATATAATTGTTGATGGATGTTGGGCAGTCACGTCGTGGTTTAACTCTACGTGAATATAGAATTTAAGAGAGGATCATATCCAAAAATATGGAAAAAAATTTAATCACAAAAAGAAAAAGAATTGTCATTAAAATAAAAATATAAACTTATTTTTTAATGAAATTTATTATTAATAATTGTCCGCAAATAAGTTTTGTTGTGATATTTTTTAAAGTGATGTTTCCAAAATTTTTAATAACCACCCCTGATGTCTTCAAGGTTCTGGCAGTAGCCAGTCCAAGCTTTCAAAGAAAACGAGAGAATAAATAATAGCAGCAACGGCCAATGAAATCGTGCCGGCATCCCCGGGGAGCTTTCCTTGTTTCTTTTCGTTTTTTGACAAATGGAAAGTCAAACTAAAGTAACTTTTTTCTAACTGCATTTATGTTGGCAAATAAATAGGTGGATTTTGCCTCTAGATATTTATTAAGAGAGGGGCATCATAAGCCGTGGCGTGAAGAGCGTGCGTATATGCAGATGACTTTTCAGACTCGATGCAACACATACATGGGAGCAGGTCATGCTTCATTCTATGTTTGTACACGTTCCCCAAACAATGCAGGGGAGGAGCTTTGCTTTCATCAGCTTAATTAAGATAAACTTATAACAGTAGTGAGAAATTATTCTATGGACATGGCTTATCAGAATTTAAACATAGAATGACAACTACGCAGCATAATACTAGCCGTAGCGCTGTCTCCATCTTTCACTCTGTTACCATATGCATATGGCTCTACCTTGTCCCCTGAGGGATGAACGGCCACTAAGTATACAGACTACAATTTATACATACGCGTGGCTTCTTGTATACATTTAATAATTAATTAATTAGTAGCCGATAGGGCACTTCCAAAACATTAGGCCTTGTTTAGAGATCGGAACCAATTTTCACTTGTTGCTCGCTCAAAAACAAATACGAGTAATTCAGGGTATGTTTGCTTTCTGTTTTTAAAAATAAAAAAAAAATTAAAGAAACTTTTTAAATAAGTGTTTGAATTTAATTGATTTCAAAATAAAAAAATGAAAACATTTTGAAGTTGTTTTCATTTCTTTTTTTTTTTGTTTTTAAAAAATACACTATATTTAATTATTAGAAAATACATTCAGCTTGACAAACTTTTATTATAAACCACCATCATTAATCGATTGCAACTTTCATTATCAACTTATTTTTTAATTTTACAATTGTTCTTAAATTTAATCAAATGGATTTTTATTTTATTTTGTGTTCAAAAGAAATTCTTAAAACTACATTATAAAAGTGAAAATAAAAAATGACAACAGAAATCAAAAGGCCAATCAGTTTTTTAATGGAATTTTTTTTAAACGTTCAGATATACGAGGATTAATCGGTGTACATGAATGAGTTCATATATATATATATATATATACACATGAATGAGTTCATGTATGTATATATATATATATATATATCCAAAAGTCATATATTCGCGTTTCATACTTTCATTTATTGATTGCATGGAGTTTAAAGAAAAAATCGTTTGGCTATGTCTAAGTTATCAATAACTTGACTCAACTTCTGAGATTCTATATGAAGAAGAAAATTGTATCTAAAGTTCATAACAAAAATAATCGCAATTTTTAAAAGTAGTAAACAATTCAGTACATGCACATTATATTGAAGGCCCGCATTATTAGAGATGAAAAGAAATCTCACATTTAAAAATTAAATTAGAAGATAAATCATGAATAACATATAAAACATGAAATGTGTTTAACAAAGTAGTTCAAATTTTTTTTTTTTTGGGGTAAAGCAGACCATCCTTAAGCAAATATTTAACATAAAGAATCCAACACACAATAATAATGAATTGCTTTAGCCAAGCTAGCCATGTTCATTCCATGCACATGAATTATAAATAAGGCATAAAAAGGGGATTATATTAAGAGGGAAAGAAAGCAAACTAATAAAGCAAACCCCTCCCGTTCACAAAGAAGCAACGATCATTTTCATTTTCGTCACTTATCGTATCACTCTTTATTCCTTCTCTAACTTTTTATTCTAAGGGCTTATTTGGTTGAGGAGGGGAGAGCAAATTTTAAAAAATTTCCCTTCCCCTCCACCTCCTCTCTCCTCCCCCTATCCCTTCCTCTCCCTTTTAACCAAACGCAGTCTAAGACCCGTGGTTTCTTAATTAAACTACATAGTGAAGGCATTTGTGAAGTACTCTATATATTGAAACTACTCTTGGTATGACTTCAAGGTTAAAATTTCTCCTTTTAATATATTGGTGTTCATACGCTCAATTTTTTTTATAATGAAATTTTTAGATAAGTTGGGTCTGAGAACTTATGACTTTTAATATTTTTGTTAATTTTCACTTGCAATTTTATTAAAAAGGGAGTCACTTAGTTGTTTTATTGACTAATTAAATGCATATTTACAAGAAAATAAGGAAATTAGGTCCCAAGGGCTTACCAGGGTTAGGGCATTTACCTCTAAATTCCAAGAGTGCTTATAAAAATGCTTACAAATTTCCTACTATTTGGTTAAGTTTTGGACAAAAATCAAATCAAGTCAAATAAATTGGTTCACCATTACTACAAAAAATGTAAATTAGTGAGAGAATTTAACAATTGATTATTTATTTCTCTCTAAAATACCAAATTAGTGAGAAAATTAGTGAGGGATATTGATTTCATAGCTCAACTTGAAATTAACGAGGAAAATAATAAGGACATATCAATCCCTCTCTAAAATAAGATAATTAGTGTGAAAAATAGCGAGAAATTATCAATTCCTTTTTAAAATAAGATAATTAGCGAGAGATTACTGATCCCTTTGTAAAACAAGATAATTAGCAAGGGATTTTATCCCTACTTAATTACTTAAATAATATATATTTAATTTCTCATGTAATGACTGTAGGTGTTTTTTAGTTTAATTGCCAAAAAAGAAAACATAAAGCTTGAAAGGTAGAAGGTCAAGAGTTCAAGTTTTGGCCTTGGCATAAACATTATGAATATGTGACATGGCAAAGAGCAAGTGACATGGCGTGAGGTGAACAATGATATGTCATGAGTTATCGCATATGTGGCGGGTGATTAGGCATAAGATAGCAAGTGACATGGTAGTTGATGAGGAACAAGGTTGCTAGCGACATGTCACAAGTTGACACACATATATGGGTGATGTGGCATCACCACTTTTAAATATATATATATATATATTAGCAAGGGATTAGTTTTTTCACTAAATTTATTGAATTTTAAATAGTATTAGCAAGGGATATGGCCCTCGCCAAAGATTAGCGAGTAAATAGAGAGAAAAATACAATCCCTCACTAAATTTAACAAGTCATTTTTTAATTACAAACTCAGCGAGAGACAAACTTTATTGCTAAAATGCAGTTTAGTTAGGAAAAATGGCATTTAGCTAAATTTCATTTTTCTCGTACACAAAAATTAGGCCATTGGGGTTTGATTTATTTTTAGAGGAAAAAAATTAATTTGGTTTGATTGGATGGAATTTGGATCTTAAGCTCATTCACTCAATGAGCGGTTTAAATTCACTCACTTAATGAATATATTATGTGTCTGTCATGTACATACTATTTAAAAAGTATTAAATCTCAACTTTTTAGTTGATTACAGCTTGTCTGATGAGTGTTTGATCATTGGGGGATTGTTTAAAATTTTTAGAGAGAAATACATCTTAATAATTTTTAATTATCGATAAAATTCAATAGTTATAATTGAAACAATAAACACAAGTCATCTAATGAATCTAAATTCATTTAATTATGTTTTTCTACATCTTTAAGATATGCAAATAATTATGTTATTTTTTTTAATAATTATTCATGTTTTTTATTTTAATATATTTTTAATAATTTTAAAATAATATATGTTTTTTATTCCCATGTCAGCTGCCGACTCATGAGCCAGCCAATCCGATCCAAATGTTACTCTCCACTTTTTTTCTAACTATTTCTTTGTTCTTTCTGCCGTGGACCACACTCCCACTTGTTCCCACTTCTTCCCCCGACTTCATTTTATTCCCTCAATTATTACCCATTTAGTCTTCTTATATATACCCCCCTTTTCTTTTGTTTAAACATCATTACTTTAATTCATCTCTGCTCCGTTTTTTTTTCTTTTTTGGTAAATACCGAAGAATTCAAATCAGCTATAAGACCCATGTTTTCTGCTCTTCTAGCTCCTATGATAAGACAAAATGTTTCCGAGCTATATAAATATATTGAATTGTATATGAATCAACTGGGTTATTGCGGCCAATGGTGTATCATATTTTACGTCACATTGAAAGTATTAAGCATTCCTCCTGCTCCTCAAGTTGCAGAAAGCCTTCCTCATCAGCATGATCATCATCTCTTCTGCGTTACATCTATTCATAGCCCTTTCATTTTACCCTTTCAGTGCTGTTATTCCTCGCCATGCTGACAAAGCAAGGAGAAGTAAGAATCTAACGCCCTCCCTGTTCCTCTCCCTCTCCCGCTCTCTGTCTCCTTCATCGTGCCCCTCGCTCTTAATTACGAGGTATCATCTCAGATATATAATCATTCAGTAACGTGAATTTGTGTGTTTATGTCATTTCTCTGAAGGTCATGTGGCCTAGATTAGTGGCTAGTAAGATATTGAATAAGCGATTGGGAAGCAACAACTTCGTGGCAGATTGTTCAACTAACCTGGAACCATTATTGGGCATCACAAGCATTGATGATCAGTCGACTCTGATCTCCAACACCAATCTTAACGATCTCAAGGATACTCAAAATTACAAGTAAGATTCCAAATATATACTCTCTTCTCAATTCAATAATCCTATTCCTAGCTAGCTACCTGGTATCTTTCAGAAAAAGCCGGCGCTACCAAATCTATTCTGGTTTGACACAGCTCTATGAATAACAGGTGGCAGTATTTCACTACTGCCTGTTTCAGCCTATATTTGATTTCTCTAGAAACCACACTGGGAATGACATCTTTAATTAGTGCACCCTTCATATTAATCTATGAAGGACTTGACTATATATATCTGGGCTATTTCTTTCGCTGCTATGCTTTGTTCCAATTCTAATCCTTTTTCTGATATGGTTTTGCTCTGATGCTTTTCATAGGATGTTTGTTAGCACGTGGAACGTAGGAGGGGTTGCACCGGATGAAGATTTGAACATAGAGGATTTGTTGGAGACAGGTGGCACCACCTGTGACATCTACGTGCTTGGGTATGCCCCAAAAAACCGCTTCTAAGATCCATATATGGGATGCACATGAAAAATTATGAAGAGATTAGCTGTTCTGAAATTATTATATGCTAATGTTTTGATGTCTTGGTTCCTCTTAATTATTTTCAATATCCAGGTTTCAAGAAACAGTGCCTCTTAAGGCATCAAACGTACTCGGATCTGAGAACAGGAAGATCTCCATGAAATGGAACTCGTTGATCAGAGAAGCTTTGAACAAGAGAATAAGGGATCGTAGGGATATGTGGAATAATGGTGAGAATAATAATAATATTAAAAATAATAAGGAGGAGGAGGTGGACATTCCAGCTCTGTACAATAAAATAGCCCCACAAGATTTCCAGTGTATCATTAGCAAACAAATGGTTGGTATCTTAATATCTGTGTGGGTTAGGAGACATCTCCGTCCATTCATTCAGCATCCAAGTGTCTCATGCGTAGGCTGTGGCATCATGGGCTGCTTAGGAAACAAGGTGACCTCACAGATGCAATAACCCCACTTCCCCAAAATGATCATCATAGTTTAATTTACACTTAAATACACGTTTATACTGGTATTGATACAGAACACAGCATTATATAATTGCACTTGGCGCTATGTGTTTTGATGTAATTTAAGGTTAATATGATGTCGCGTTTGCATATAGTTTATGCTGCATCAGTCACCACCAGTGTCTACATCAACAGAACTAATTCATCAGTTTACCCAATGAAAAGGAAATCCAAATTTTTATTGGTTAGCGCTAATCCCATTGTATATATATATTTGCAGGGTTCTGTGTCCGTACGATTTCAGTTACATGAAACAAGCTTCTGCTATGTGTGCAGTCATCTGGCTTCTGGGGGGAGAGAAGGAGATGAAAAGCTTAGAAACTCTAATGTGTCTGAAATCTTTTCCAGGACAAGCTTTCCGAGAGGCCCTTTGCTTAATTTGCCTAAAAAGATTCTTGATCATGAGTGAGTAGATAAAATTTTTGAAACCGTCCAAACCAATTTTTAATGACTCTTTCTGTTCTTTTCCCTTCTTTTCTTTTCTTTTTTGTTTTGTTTATTATTATAGGTTCCTTTCCCAACAAATAAAACTTGAATAAGAAGGTGGGAAATAAATAATATGTTATTTGCTTTAATTTTTTTGGCAAGTTGGGATATCTCATTAATTTGCTTAATCAACTCATTATTGTTCTTCTTTCAAAAAAAAAAAAAACTCATTATTGTTCTCCTACTTGAACTTGTATTAATATATAAGGCCGCCGAAACATTAATATATCCGTTCTTGGTTGGTTGTTCTGCTTGTAACTAACCTTTAGTTTAAATTATTTAATTTTGAAGAAGTTGGTAGGAAATTGTTTTGTTAATATAGTGGGTCTGTGAATTAGATAAACCGCCATTTTGAAGAGATAATTTTCCATCAGCTAGCAGCCTCTAGCCGTTAAGATTCATTATGTGTATAGTTTAAATCAGTTGAACTCATGGTAACTTGATAATTAATTCACCTTTAGTTTGAAGGTCACTCGCACTTAGCCTTTTAATTTGATACCTATCTTGATTATATTTTGCCTAGAGACGTATTTAATGCCCGCACTATATTCCTTGTCTGTTGCAGCCTGGTAATATTGCTTGGAGATTTAAATTATAGAATTTCTCTACCAGAAGAAACGACACGCTTACTTGTTGAAAGAGAACACTGGGATTCCTTACTAGAAAATGATCAGGTAAACAAATATACACGCCGACGAGGAAATTAAGTTAAACTCAATCTATATTATAAATATATGAAGTGCGAATATCCGAGCATATTTGACATAGCCCAGCTGTAGAACTTCAAAATTAATGGATCGTTTTTGTCTGTATCTGAATATTTTCCTATATTCCTTTGTTAGTGTCAAAGCTCTTAATTTAGTTTTCAAATTCTCTGACTTTCATGGATTGAAAATGAAGCTAAGGATGGAGCTAATGAGTGGGAGCATGCTAAGAGGGTGGCATGAGGGAACAATCAAATTTGCGCCAACCTACAAGTACTGTCTCAACTCAGACATGTACTATGGATGTTGTTACCATGGAAAAGGGGCAGAGAAGAGGAGAGCTCCTGCATGGTATATATATGAAGTATAATTAGGACACTACTAAGAATATAACTATGACTTGATTATTATTCTGTGCTTAATTATGCGCTGTTCATTAATCAGGTGCGATCGGATAATATGGTATGGCAAGGGTTTGAAGCAGCTTCAGTACACGAGAAGTGAATCAAAGTTGTCAGACCACAGGCCCGTGAAGGCAATGTTCAGAGCAGAAGTGAAGGTTATACCAACACTGAAGAACTTGCATAGCCTGCTTCTATCAGAGAGATTTGAGCAGCTTAAATCCCACATTCAAGTTTCCACCCCTGATGAGTTATTATGTAAAAAGCAATCAAGCTTCCGGTTATAGAGCAATTATTTGTGTGATTACGTACATGATTAAATTTTTAATGCTATATATATTCTGAAAAACTTAAAAAAAATGGGGCAAGAGAAGAGGAGAGAGTGGGAGACGAAGAGGAGTAAATTGTCAATGCAGGGGACAGATGATAATATAATTATAGTTTTTCTTTGTTGATGATGTATGGCGAAGTTTAGCTGCTTTATTATTTTATAGATCTAGTTTTTTTATCCAAGGTTAATTGTATTCCACGCCCTGGATTCTCGGATACTAATTAAATTGTTCATTATGAAATAATCAAACTTTCTATGTGTGTAGTTAGTGCATGTATATATGGTATTAACAAATTTCAACCTTCTAATTGAAATTAACTATACTCCTTTTTATTTGTAAAAGAAACTATTACTTTTTACTTATTTTTTTATATTAGTAAAATCAGCTATTTCAATAAATATTTATTACACATTTATTAAATCATCTCTCACAATTTATTTTAATTAAAAATAATTAATACATGTTTATATTGATTAACATTTGATATTTTAGTCTAATTTTTTATTTTTAAATATAATTATTATGGTTAATTAATTTTTTTAAACTTTGTAATATAATTATATATATATATATATATATATAGAAACGGAGGGAGCAAATGTCTTGGATTAGATTCTTTCATCTGATCATGCATGGACCTTCAGTATTAATCAAATTAAAGAATGAAATATCCTGGGTCCCACTCTCTTCATCTTCAAGTCATGGATCGCATTTAATTAAGGGGTTTCAAACTACAGACAATATAATATAAGCAATAATTGGGCAAGTTGGGCGAGGACAATGGTCATCAGCCCTAGTGATCACGCGCATGCTAATGCATCAGAGCAACTGGAAAAAGGAACACCACCCTCTCTTGTCCTCTGTGCAAGTAAAGAGCAAATTTAGATAGATTTTCTTTTTTCATTTTTAATGATATAATAAATCGATGATGATACTAATGTTCTAAATTCTTCAGGGGAAAAATTAAATATAGATAAATCTGAATGAGCTGAAGTTGAAGATATCATTTTATAAATGCAACTTGCCAGAAGAAAATAGTATGGTGTATTGGCCGATAAAATTTAAGGCGCGTGCAAATCCTTGTAGACTGAAAACAAATTTTTTTTTTTTTAAAAAGGCTGCCAAAGGAGGTATGATCTGTTACTGTGATCGATGCTACATTTGCTTGTTGAAATATTTATTTATAAATTTATATTAATTAATAAGTTTAAATAAGTTTGTCTTTGTAATTTTAAGTGAATCGTAATAAGTGAACCACATAAGTGAATCTAATGGGTAGAGGCCTAATTTACAACCTATAGTCGTCAATTATTCTCTATCTCTTAACTGACCGGATCAAAAATAATGTGAGATAATTTATTTATTTATTTATTTATTTATTAAAGCGATTACTGATTTGATCCATGTAAGTCGATCAATTGATAACCACAAATACACGATAGTTTTTTCACTTTTTTCATTATTTTTGAACTTTCTGCAAACTACAAGTATCCGGTGGATTATGCATTTGCCTACATTTGAGATAATCAAGATATTTCAAGCAGTCATGAATTCTTTAAATATATACACATTATACTTTATTTAAATTTTATTTAATTTATATGAATTGAGATACTACAATTAATACTGCATCCAAGGATTATGAATCACTGGCGCACGCGGGAGAACCTAATATATCCAACCCAATTAACTTGCTTCACAACGCCAGCATTGTCTTTCAAAAGTCCGTCTTCAATTGCCACGCGGACAACTAGCTTGAATTATGTATTTATATGAAACATGAATTATGTGTATATCTTGCAATCATTGCTCATTTGAATTTGGTTGTCTGTGGGACTGTAAGTGTTTGAATATTGATTTAAAGGGCGATTTGATCGATCGGATGCGAGATTGGCAATATGTTGAAATGTGCCGTCGGAGAAGTATTGAATTGATTACAAACTTGCCGCTTAATTAATTAAGAACTCAGTCACGCTAACTCAAGCAGGTTTGGATAATAATTAATGAGAAGCTTGCAGCCAGAGTTGGTGGGAAGAATCATGTTGGTGTTGGCCAGGGTGATGAAGATATGACAGAATGAAGAGGAAATAATGCTGCGCACCTTTGGCCACATTTCGTTGTATCAATTGATGGCATGCTCTACGAGCGCAGCATCACTAGTTGGCTCCGTGGCTTACAAATACTGACTCTTCATCAGCCATTCTCAACAGCTCTCTAACCACTTCGCTTTCTAGATACTCAACGGGATCTCAAGCCTTCTCTCATCCTCAGTTCGTCTTTTAAAACGTGTTCTCATCCCTATCATCGCCTCCCATTCTCACCATTTTGACGCTGCTTAGGCAATAACTGTGACGAGTGGCTTCTACGAGGAGGTGCAAGTTTAGCTTGCATGTCTGGTTTGGCTGGTTCAGGTTAATTGGGAGAGCAAGAAAGATCCTTCAATCTTGCGATCCTCGGGGCTCGTTAAACAGGATCATGGATGCAGCTGGAGGAAGTTGGCTTGTGGACATTCTAGGACCCGCTCACAATTAACCTGTCATTGCTACCTTAGTCGGCCGCAGCTCTCATGCAGGCTTGAATTGATCTCCGAGTTCAAGTTAACTAGTGAAACTAGTTTTAACCCAAAACTAGTAGGTATGGAATGCGGGCATTGGATTGCAGCCATCATTAAAACAAAGCCCAAGTCATTGAGGCTGGGCAGGGCATGACTATGGTCTATGGGCCGGGATTGTGACAAAGCCTGGAGTCATGTTGGGGTGTGATTTGAAAAAGATCTCTCTTTGTTGACTCCGCGTCACCACTAGTCCTCGTTTGATTTCCTTCTTGCATTTTCCAACCACCCAAAAAAAGGAATTCTTTTTTCTTGTAACAACCTTGCTTTTTCTTAAATTATTGGACTCGCCTCTCTAATATTAAAGCCTTTCCTATGTTGCATGTCAATTGTCAATTCACTTTTATTGAAAACTGACTCTGCTTCTCCTTACCAGTCCGCGTTGTTGACCAACAAGGAGCGACAAGATGTTGTTTGTATACTGGTTGGGGTTGCTACTATGACTGCCAGAATCTTGTTGAATTATTGTTTATATTTGAATATTATTCTTATTTCTAATTCTAATATGCCCACTGTAAATTGTAACAGATAATGTAGAATCTTCATTAATATCAGTAGTGAGGGCTGTGGGAGAAATGCTTGCGCTGGTATAGGATTATTGTTTGCATGATTAAAATTAGTGTCGTATGAATACTGGAAAGCACAATTCTTGAAGGTGGTGCAGTTTGTCTTATGCTATACACTCACTGAACATATTCATTACTCAGCAGCCTTGGATTCGGAATGATTACTCAATGTCCCTTGATAATTTTCCAAAACCTTGCATGTATGACACGCTAGGATTTTAGCCTCTCTGAATTAAAGAAGTGAGAGCTTTGAAATCTAAGTCCATGAGGTGACGAAACCGTACAAAGAATCATTTCATCGATCCTCCTCATGTACATGCTTCCATTTCGTATGTTAGATAAACAACCACTACCACCACCTGCAATTGACATAATCTGTCCCCATGGATTCTCCACAAAAACATTAACAAGATGCTACATAGTAAACAACGAACCTCTATATATAGCTAAGTGTTATCGACTTCATAGAAGTCTGAGAAGCAAGAATTATAGAAGATGAGCAGCTGCTCGGGAAAATTGTTCAGCTCGGGAAGGAAGTGGAAGAACAAATTGATTAGTTTCGGGAGGAGAAGGTTGAGTAAATTTTTAGGGAAAGTTGGCAAGTTTGTGATATACACGAGCGTCAGACTCGGTTTGTGATGCCAATAGAGTACCCATGCCATGGCATCTTCCGAGGGCTGTTGAGCATGTCTAATGACAGGTGTGGCAACTCTATTCAAGGCCCATCGCCATCTTTCTCATCCAAACAGACGTCGCCAACGGCTCAGCCTTCCACAAAACTTCTCTTCCTTCTCGTCATTATCTTCTACCCAGATTTCCATAAGCATTAAGCAATCAGGTTTGTGTATATTTTTGTAATTGCAACCATCGGAGAAAGTTTTCTCCTGTCTCTGTCCTTTGTTATATAGCTAAAATGCATCTTTTAGATCTCATCAAGTAGCAGCATTTCAACTGAATTATGGAGTTACTACTTATCATTATTAGTATTTTCACAGTATTTCCATTTTGTATTGGACAGATTTTTTTTCTTTATTCGTTAGGTGATCATACGCTTTAATTATAATCCATTCCTCCTTTCCATACATCCGGCAGCGAAGGACAAAAAACACTCGTCTCTGTATAGCTTTTACCGTGTTCAACTTTGGGTGCATCTGAACGCTTCCGTAACGAAATTTCACACTACAAATTAAACTGACCTGATAAACTATTAAAGATATTTCAAGACCGCTAGTACAGGTCTAAGTCAAGCACGCCAATCTAATCAACCTAGTGTTATAAGCGAAAGGCAAAAATTAAAGCACTTCTCCGCGTCAGTCAGCTTTGTTTAAGCATTATTAATAGAGAAACGACGAGCAAAAGAAAAAGCATGCAGCTTTAGAGTGAGAAAGCAAATTAAAGAAAAAGATGCCCCGTAGCCTCAATCATTCGTCTTAACATTGAAAGACCCTCTTTGCTTGGACCTCCTCAAATCTGCAATCCCAATAACCATGGTGATGAACTTGAGAAACATTGAAAGACCAACCGTCTGCTTCTCTCTTATCTTCTTCTTCTTTCACTCTCAACATCTCTTCACCATCCCGGTCACTTCCTACAATCCTGCAGATGATAAGCTTGCCATCAACTGTGGCTCCTCGGACAATTCAAACACCACTTCAGATAACAGAAGATGGATACCAGATGACGATTCCAAATTATTTTCCCTTGGCCAAGACAGCCAGACCTCAATCGCTGCCGTTGCAGTTCCGATTCCTCCTGAACTGGAGGAAGTTCCTTATGCCACGGCACGCCTGTCTCCTTCTGAATTCACCTATTCCTTCAAGGTCACTGCTGGCCAAAAGTTTGTTCGCCTCTTCTTTTACCCAGCTCAATATGCCAAATTTGATCGTTCCAATGCTCTCTTCTCCGTTAAAGCAGGACACCACACCCTTCTTAAGGACTTCAATGCTTCACTGACCGCTGATAACGATGATGATGTCGAAGAATCAACAGTGTTCAGAGAGTACTGTATCAACGTGGAACC